AAATTGTTACTTCCTAAGCAATAAATTAAGAAAAATGATGTTTGAAAATGTAGGAAATGAAGAACCAAAAGTAAATTGCCATTTAAGAAAAGAAAATAAAAGTCAAATGAGGAAGCACGTCGCGTCACCTCTTTGGCGTTGCACGTCCGTATAGCTGAGTCAACAGAACACCTGTCAATCGGAGAAGGACATGTGGCAGCTTCGAGAGTGACATGTGTTTAAGGGTGCGCCATGTTAGCGCATTCTCCAACCCTTCAAAATAGCTCATATTCATCTTTCTTTGTATGTTTTTCCCGATGAGAACTCTGATAAATTGAAAAATGGGGGGCATTATTATTTGTGTGATAAATTGAGTTGGCCAGATAGCATGTTATATGTTTGAGTTGCGAGAGTTATGGTTAAGCTCTGCAGCTAAGAAATTGATTAATTGATAAGTTTGGTAAATAGCCTATATGTTACAAATATTATTAGCTTGCGGAAAGCTGTTTGGTGGTAGAGCTATAAGTATGTGTGAAAAGTTATAAGTGTGTATGTGTATCAAAAGCTTCGGAATTGTTATACATGAATGTGTGATAAAATCTTTATGGAAAATCTATGTTAAAAAGGCATAGAATGTCGTCTATGTGATTGAGGATATCTTGTACTCCACGGATGAGTATTAGGAGTTGGATTGTGAATATCGTATGAATTGTGACTTAATTATAGGTTTACTGAATTATAGGAAGATAGTTATAAGGTTCCTATGAGAGGGGGGGGGGTTCACAGCTAAAGAAAGGTTGCTATAAGGTTCCCATAAGGGGGATCACGGCCACAGGAATATAGTTATAAGGTTTATATGAGGGGGATCGCGGCTATGGAAAGGTAACTATAAGGTTCCCATGAGGAGGGGGGTCACAGTTACAGAAAGACAACTATAAGGTTCCCATGAGGAGGATCATGGTTGCATGTTCCTGTAAGCAGAAAGAACGGCTATAAGTCTCCCATGAGGGGAGATACAACTGTAGTTTCTTCTAAATGCGGCACAATTACAAGGGGTATGTGTTTGCCCAAGCGGCACAAAATGCTTAGTTCTTCCATGGCCAAATTATGAAATTAGCTTTTGGGTACGAAGGAGTATTAAATCCCCATATGTGTTAGGATTGTGTTGGAGACTAGTTGCATGCTAGTATTGTATGTGAAGCTCTATGGTAGGATATTTGTGAGTTGATAAAGGTGTACAAAAGTTTCGAAATGTGTACAAGATTATTTTACTAGGTCAAAACTCATGTAGCTCACGAGTCTTTGGACTACGTGTTTTGTGCTATGTACTCATGTATGGACATTGAAGACAGAGCGTGATGTTGGAAGTGAAGACGATGATGAGAAGAGAGAAGTTCATATAATCCTTTACTTTTTTACTATGGCTATTAGTATTGGTTTGTAACACCAAAATTTGTAAATTCTGATGATTATTTCATAGTTTTTATTTTTATTTTTTTGGTAAAACCCCATTTTTCTCTAACATGTAATGGTATTTAAAAAGTATGGTGTTACGGATAATCATCCATTTCCTTCCCTTGATTTTCTTCCATTCCATTCCCTTCGCTTCACTTCACTTCCCCTGCTTTTTAAACTCGGGAGGAGCACGGTGGTATGGATTAAAATGGTGTCGGTTGGTGCAACTTTGTTACATGAGATTGATGGAAGTTGTATGATTAATGTGACGTAGGTTCAAAGGAGTTGCTAAAGAAGGATAAGAAGCAATTTCGACCAAACTATATGGTATATAGATGAAATGGCTGTTAAGGAAAGCTTGATTAGAGCCATTAAGGTGATTGAATGGAAATCCCGGATAGAACCCTTATACATGGCAAGCTTGAGTAGAGTCATGCACAACGGGATCCCAAATAGGGTTGTCACCGGGACATATAAAAGTTAAGAGTCTTAGGTTTGCATTTCATGAGCCATTCCATATCATACATTTGCATTATTCATACATCAGTTATTGCTTCACTTTAGTACGATAATTGTTGATGTTAGAGCCTTAGAATGAATTGAGATAATAAAGTTACTCAAAGTAAGTGCTTAAGGATGCTATTGTTGATTATGATTTCAGAGGTCGGGTGAAAAATCCCAAAAATACAACCCAAAAATTTCGTTTTGAAAATTAATATAAAACTATAAGTCATCCAAAATCATAAGAAACCATGTATCATGTATCTCAAAACACCATGTCAAATAATGTAATCAAAACATATGATAAAAACATCAGAGTAATCTCCCAGGCCAAAAAGACTGTAGTGTGTGCCATGCTATCATCCCGAGCCATTCCCTTTGCTAGCTGAAGTACCTGAAACCAAAACTGAAACCGTAAGCACGAAGCTTAGTGAGCTCCCCCCAACTACCACATACCATACACATAACATATAACATTCACATAACTCTGGGACTACTCCCAACTGCATCGGGACGAATCCCGGCATCGGCTTACCCGGCATCGGGCTCACCCCGGCATCCGACTGCATCGGGCATCGGGCTCACCCCGGCATCGGGCTTACCCCGGCACATACACAGCATAACATATATCATAAACACATATCGTAATCACATAATCTGCATCGGGCCCAAGCCCGGAACATATAACATATAACATATAAACTAGCATACATCGGGCTTACCCCGGCATCGGACCGAAGCCCAGAACACATAACACATAACATACAACATGCATGAATCACAAAGACATCAAGCATACATAACTACTTCTTGGGACCGCCCCGGCATCGGACCGCAGTCCGGAACATATAAATTGCATCGGGCTAACCCCGGCATCGGGCTCACCCTGGCATACTATAACTACTTAAACGGGCCGGCATTGGTGCCTTAGACCCGTTCCTACTGGAGGAAGACTCACCTCGTATGACTGACTGCTGAAAACCTGAGTGTGAAATCCCTGACTGCTGTTCCGGCTGCTCTCCGACTATCATGACCAAATAAACACTTAGTCAGAAATGATGATTCTTCTATGGGTAAAATGACTATTTTACCCTTCTGATCCAATTTGGGCCATGACCCAGGCCCAATCCTTTCTAGTCCTTCTAAACTCACTAAGGCCCATTAATCCCCAAATGGCCCAATTTTCTAAATTGGGCCCAACTCTTCAAATTGGGCTTTCCTGTCCAAACCCTACTAAACCTTAGGCCCCTAACTGAATTCTGCAGGCCCAACACAACCCACAGCTACTATGTCCAATACTTGGCCTAAACCGAGCCCAATAACAAGTCCATTGACTGAGCGTACGCTCAGCGTACCTCTCTATACACTGCGCGTACAGCTGAAAGGGCTTGTACGTTGCGCGTACTGACGTGTACGCCCAGCGTACTCTCCAATTAAGCTCTTTTCTACAAAACTGCTTAATCCCTTAAGACACTACGTCCAAACTACAGATTTGAGTCCAATACTCCGTCCTAACCCATAAAGTCGATCACTTGGTGGCTTGCAACCCACCAAATGAGCCCAACACTAAAAAGTGACAATGAACCATCATGGGAATAGCTAGATCTCTTGCATGGCTTCATAAAAGCCTCAAAGTTTGCAACTTTACAGCTAAAGGAACACATTGAGCTTCAAGGGTGGCAACCCTAAGCTCAAAAACGGTGTTGCATGCTCAAGATCAATTCTTTGGACCTAAAAAGGTCCAAATCTTCGAAACCCTAGATCTATGATTCTAGAAGGAAAGATAGGAGCTTTATACCTCCTTTGAGTGCCAAAAGGTGAGCTTGTTCCAGACCCTTGAGCTCAAGATACTCAAGTGCTTCTTCCTTCAACCTTTCTTCACTTCTTCCAAGCCCTTCTTCACCAAAATGAACTCAAAAAGGTCAAGCACACAAAGCAATGGGGTAAGGGACGAACTAGGGTTTTCTGAGGGCGAGGGACAGGTGAGGAGGCCAAAGGGGAGGCTACAATGGGGTTTATATATGACTTAAACCCTAAAAATTAGGGTTTGGCATCTGCTCGCGTACGCTGGGCGTACCTCATGGTACGTTGCGCGTACGCCCCCGAGTCCCGCACATCCAATGCAATCACTACGCCCCGCGTACGCCAGGTTACGCCCCGCGTACGGCTTATGGGCAGCCCAACTTCTTGGTCCAATCTTCTAAGGTCCATTCCAAAAAGGGGCCATTGCCCAAGCATTAGTCCAAAACTAATATTAATTTGCATAATTAATTAATATCTGAAGAGACGGATGTTACATCGGGCCTAGCTTTAAAGGGATGGTATAGCCTAGATAAAGACACTTAAAACGAAATTGCTTTTGAATGAAAAAGAAAAAGACTCAGCACGCTTTAAAAATAATAAATAATAATAAATAAATAAATAAAAATCAGTGTGTTCCACTACTGGTAAAGACGTGAAAGCTCTCAAACAAATTGACATTACTTACTCTAACAAGAAAGATTGTGAGAATCCATTAGAGAAGTCTCAAGCAAACTCATACATCGCCTTTCTTACTCGAGGTATATACTATATCGTAATATACCTCCCCATGCTTGGACCCAGGGCAGAGTACGCCTTTTGCTAATGAGAAATATGACTGAGAGTTGAAGTCTCAACAGCCAAATCATGTCCCCATATGGATTAGATTTTTGTAGACGCTAGCATCTATGTCAGCTACTACCTGAAATATATTTCACATCTTAGGGCAGAGTAGTGCAAGGATCGTAAACAAGTAAATCCAGAAGGTCATCCATACTTGCAACTCACTTATGGATCCTCAACTTCTAACCAATAGGGCAAGCATGCAAGAACACATACACTGTCAAGCAATGAGATGCAAACAGCCCCAGTTTGTAGCAAAGAACCTCTATTACCCTTTTTTTCTCAAACACAATACAAGCAATACCAGTCATGTAAACCGAAATACACAATAGAAACCGAATTTGTTTAACCTGTAGTAATATTACAATATCCACAAGAACATCTAGATCAAGGTTTATACTAATCATCTATTCCAGCTACGTATGCTTCGGCTTTAATCTGCCAAGTACCGGTACAAGTTTGGGTCTTCTTTATCTCTTTCAAGATAACGACGACTCAACAGGTCTTCAATCCGCTTCTTGATTGCTTTTACATCAGGCTGCACATATTCACAGTTGAAGACCAATCAGTAGAGAACAGATTAATATTGGTGTGTCTGTCTGGTTGGATGGATGGATGGACGGAATAAGCAAAGGTAATGGGATGAGTCGTTACATTCCATAGTCATGTGTGGGTCGGCTTCTAGGACTGGAAGGAATGTCCGTTCCATTTCATGATAAAATGAAAAAACGCAACTTGACTACATAATTAAAGTTAACAAAAATGGAAATAATCGCATTGCATTGCTTTCCAAATTCCAGCATAGCAAACACTACCAAAAGATGAATGCAGATATTTTTACCCATAATAGCACCGTACTTACATATTTTGTTAAAGGTATGGTATGGGCAATGTACTTTATCTATTACATAGTATTATTAATTTATTTTATCGATAAAGATATGTAAGTAGCCTGTTATGATGGGCAAGGGATTGTAAGTACGTTGCTATTATGTGTATGTGTAAACACAAATGTAAGTATGTCGCTATTTTTAAAATAAAAACTTACCTTAAACAAGGATCCCAACTGTTCCTCACACACCTGAACCAACTCTCGGTGTTTAAGCACCTTTCTGCTCTTCATTATCCGCACAATTGCAAGTTCAATGGATTCCCCCCTCTCTTTGCCAACATCCTTAATCACCTTTTCCTTCTCATCCACATGAGGTAGAGGAATCTGCATATTAAAGAAAAAGCAACAGAATGGTTATATGCAAGAAAGAAAAAACAACATACTTTCATTGATGTGTTTATTATAGCATCCTACTTCCATTTCTGTTATTACAACATTCTACTTCGGAAAATCTACACAATTACAGCAATGTCATACAAGTGCTAAGCAACTTCATTGCTATATTTGGATACTTTTTTCACGGTATATCATATCATAGTAACAAGAAAACACTAGGTTGTACACTGCTATAATTTGGTGGATTTTTCAAAAGTAAAATGTCTGAATAAGGAAAATTTTGGAAGTAAACTGATGCATTAGATAGAAATGAGAATTACCCCTTGACCCACCTCATTATTGTTATATAAAGAAGGGTCGATACAAGAAATAGCAACACGCTTTGAGTTGTTATTTCTTGTATTTAGCACTATAAAAAATAAGAACACTCAAACACCCTGATCCTCTTCATTCTATCTGTAAACTTTGAGTTGAATTCGAAGTAATCAGTTGGAGAGATTGATTTGGTATTCGGCTCCTTTAAAAGAATTTTGTATTTTGCACATGACAAAGAATGGAGTAGCCTAACAACATCATCATCTGACAAGTTCAACAGAGTCTTGATTTCTTGATAACTCAATCGATCTGCTGAATTGAATAGTAATAAAGCAGCTGCCTGCATTGACCGAATGCAAAAAGTCAAAACCTTACACATATTCAACTATCAAAATTTTTTGAACTGATACAAAAAAGCACTTAAAGAAGGAACCTGGTTGGTTAACACAATCAGCTCATGTGTTTCCGCTTCAAATATCCCGTTTACATGGCAACTACCCAATGAATATATCCATGTAAGCTTCCTCCCCTTTGTTTTTGTTTGATAATAGTCTTTGAAAACTTCAATGCATTTAACCTACAGCATCAAGTGATTACAAAAGTCAAATATCTGAGGGTGTGTTTGGGTCGTAGAATGTTTTTGGAAAAGTCAAAGGAATTAGATAATAAAAATTAAATACTTTTTAGATTTAAACTTATATTCAAATATTTTTTATTTACTGTAAATATATATATATATATATATATAACTGATTTTTTTTTGTTTTTATTTATTTCAATACATAAAAGAGGATATTTTAGTCTTCTAATAAATATGAAAGATCTTTCCACCCTTCCATTGGGGTCTATTTGGTTGGATGGAATGGAATGATGAAATAACAGAGTAACCAAGGCAATGGAATCAGTCATTACATTCCATGATCATATGTGGCTGGCCTCTAGAAATGAGATGAATTTATTATGTTATATGTAAGTAAAAACAAGGTATAGCTTTGACACTACTCTATATGTTATTGATAATAATTTATAGAATTTATTATTTACAAAACTAAGAAACTAAACATAATAAAAACCCGTCAAACTCAAATAAGATTCTAAAAAAAAAATCTAGTTCTTTTTGAATATAACAGTAAAATTAAATAAAATCATGAAACTCTTTGAAAAATATGTCATTAACAACTTTATGTATAAAAAAAATTGGGTTATATTACACTTTTGTCATACCATTCCATGATGGAGAAAAAAAGTGTAAGAAGTGACAATTAACAAGATAAAAAGGAAACAGATTTCCTTCATTAATAGGTAAAACAAACATCTTTCTTTTTTAATTCCAATAGAATGAAATTATTGCATTCCTTATCCAGTCCCGTCGTACCAAACACTACCTAGGAATACAGTGAAATCCATTAAACATAGAATTTGAAGGATTCCGACGGAATTGAATTCCATCGATTTGGCAACCAAACATGCCATGGAACGGAATCTCGTATTCCAATCCCGTCAGAATCCTTAAACCAAATACACCATCATCTTTTTTTTTTTTCTGATAACAATAAAAGTTATTGGTGGTTACCATTTCTGCAGGGAGATTAAGGTCACTAGATTTGTAGCTCGGCCACAAATGGCTAGTTAGCACTGTCACGGCCAAGTCAATTCCACGGCTAACATTCGGATTATTGTTCAAATACTCTTCAAAATGAAATTGGTTTTCCTTTGCCAATGTCAGGTCCTTAAACTGAAAAATAGATACAAAACATGGCATGTTAAATTTCTAAAAGTAGGTTGCTATTTCTTGCTTTTAGCCTTTTCAGAATATGAATTTGATAACAGTTAATTTTGCATAATTACCATCCCTTCCATCTTTGATGTATAGAGACCACCACATTGTTGTTTCATCATTCTCAAAATACTTCTCTCGTGCTCATTATTAGCACTCTTGTCAACCAAAAGCCGCCGAGCAAGTTTTTTCCTACAATGTCGGATATTAGTAAAAGACGAAATGCAAGAAATAGCAACCTACTTTCATTTATTTGTGTCCTACATTTAAATTTGTTTCTACTACAGCATTGTACTTTCGATTTTTTCTTTTAGGATATTATACTTTGAGCAACCTGCCCAATTATAGCAGTAAAATCCGCTTTGTATTTAGATGGTATTGTATTGCTACAGTTTGGTAGTTTTCTCAATGTAGAATGTTGCAATAGGAAGAAATGAAAATCAGATGCTATGATGAAGAAAGTTAGGAAAAGTATGTTGCTATTTCTTGCATTTAACCCTAATAGAAAATGACCATATTATACAAGGAATCACAAAGAAGGTTGATATTAATGATAACCTAAAGGGATTTACCTATAGCATCCTACTTTCATTTCTTTCTAAAACAGCATTATACTTTCAACTTTTTTTTATCAAGGCATTGTACTTTGAATATTTAACCAAAACATAACATTGTACTTTCATTTTTTTTTTTCTATTTAGGATACTATACTTTGAAAAATCTACCCAATGATAGTAGTGAAAATTGCTTTGTATTTTCGATGGCAGTGCTATAGTTTCATAGAATTTTCAAGGTACAAATGTTGTAATAAATAGAATATAACAATAAACGAACCAAGAAAAGTACGTTGCTATTTCTCGCATTCCACCCTATCAGAAAATGACCTCATTGGACAAGGAGTCACAAAAAAGTTGTTAACCCTAACCTAAACGGGCTTACCTATAAAATCCAGCAAATAGATCTTTATCACTGATGTAGTCAAGCAACACTACTACCTGCAAATCAGTTCAATAACTCAATCACTTCTGCATTTGCGACACAGGACAGTGATGAGGGCGTTTACGTCTTTTGCACAGACAAAATAATGAGAGCGCGTTAAATTAAAATTGCATATATTTGTCCCATTTGACACCAAACACAGCAACCAACATACCTTCTTAAGTGTGTCCTCAATGGCTTCATCGCTCAATTTCTCACTTCCACTTTTTTTAAGAATATCATCACAAAATGTAGCAAGTAACTCTGCACTTGAACTTCCAGCAATGCCCTTGTTGCAAAATATTTGGAATGCCTCTTTAAGAGCCTAGAGGGGATATTTCAAAGGGTAAAAAACAAGTTGTTTTGCATAATGGGTTTTGATTATATTAATAGTTTATTGGTGATTTTACTATACTAACCTTGTGGAAAAGAGTATGGTTCATGAAACAATCATTTACATATGCCAGGTACTTGTCATGGAGCTCAATCACTTTTCTAACAAAACCCTGAAGAACAGCAAACAGATAAGGTTCTTGACACAAATAAATTAGTAATTTCTGCAAATTTGATTTTAACTGTTCCTGCAAGCCAACCACATCTCTCTTTTCGGCTTGCATACACTATAAGTTCAAAATTACTCATCATTGCAGCTTTTAATCATAAATTAAAGGGCTAAAACTAAATGCAATAACTACCATAAACTTCTATTTGTTTGTTTATTATATCCCTCTGCCTTTCATTTCTTTCTATTACAGCATTGTGCTGTCTTTTTCTCTTACTAGGGTATTGTACTTTAAAAGATATTTGCTTTGTAATCTGTATTCAGAAAACATGGCTATAATTGCGTAGATTTTTCAAAGTACAATCCTGTAATAGGAAGATAAGAAAGTAGGTATTTTGTTTTTATTCTCTTAATGGGATTAATGGGGACAAGACTTAATCTGAATATCTGATAAGCTATATATGAGTGTTTCTTTTAATTAATACAGAAAAAACGACTTAACAAAGGGTTTGCCTATTAAGTCCTGACCTTTACAAATCTGCCCTCATTTATTTTTTCCTTCCATTTCCCCAAGTTTGGTGTCATTTTCTCCAATATTTTTCAAACGTCATTCATCCAGATTCCAGAGGACAAAAAAGAGACACGATTGTACAAACCTTATTGGTACTTGCTGCATCTTCTGCCTGTTTAACTAATGCTGTGCCTTCAGCAGCGACATGCTATAGAACATAGAAGAACATGACAACAAGATTACAAAAAAAAAAAAAAAAAAACCAAGGCGCAATGGGCTTTCTACTTTTTCAGAAAATGAAGTTCATTTCAATAGAATAGAACAAACCTGCTCAAACATACGAGAAAAAAGATCCAGTCCACTTTGTATCTTTGAAAAGAGTCTGTACATTCTTGATAAATCGTCAACCTAAATCCGTGAAAAAAAGAATGATCAGAGAACAAAAGTAACCAAGAAACTATTCTAAATAAGGCTAAATGAAAGAAATAGCAATCTAGTTTCATTTATTTGTGTTTTGTATCATCCTACTGAATTTCTTTCAGTTACAACATTCAATTTTCCAATCATTTTCTTATTAAGGCATTGAGCTTTGAAATGTCAAACCCATTATAGCATTGTACTTGAATCTTTTTTCTTGTAACTACATTACTTTTTTAAAAATTACCCAGAACTATAGCAGCAAATATAGCTTTGCATATGGATGACATTGCTATAAGCCTATAACTGGGTAGAATTTTCGAAGCACAATGTTGTGATAGGAACACATGAAAGTAGGATGCTATAACAAACAAACCAATGAAAGTGTGTTTGCTATTTCTTGCATTTATATTATATGCTTAAACAACAATCATTAAAAAGTGCATACCCTGTCCTCCCTGAGCAATGCAAGACAACCTGATTGTTCCTTCTCAAGCAATTGAGTTGCATAAACAGACAACAGCTCAGTTTGAACTTTCTACATACACCAAAATGGAGATAGACACAATAATATATATATATATATATATATATATATATATATATATATATTTGCATACTATGTAAATAATGTATAGTTTTGACTCTAGTCTATATATTATTCAACTATAATTGATGAAAAATTGATTTATAAAGATAAACAAAATTGAACATAATTTAAGCTAACAAGAAACCAAATATGATTAAAATAAAATTTTATTTTCTAGGTATTAGTAAACAATAGTAACTTAACTAAGAATCACAGATTTATTTATTTATTTATTTTTAAATAAAATAAAGTAAAACTCTCACTCAAATTACATAAATAAAAATAAGCTATATTGCAACTTTTCATTCTATTTCATGATGGAATGAAAACACTCATCCACTAAGGAATGAAAATTAACAAAATGAAAATAATAATAATAATAATAATAATAATAATAATAATAATAATAAACATTCCCTCAAAAATGGTTCATTCCATGCGATCAGACAAAACAAACAAAAAAAACTAGTTCAATGGAATGAACGATTTCCTTCCTCCATCCTACCAAAGACTACCTAGATATGATTTCAGAAAATTTAATAATAAATATAGGGAAGAAAAAAAAACAGAAAAACTGGAAATCAAAACTAGAACAAGACCACAACTCTAGTCCCAGTTGAGTAATGAAAAACTTTCTTCTTAAAAAATTTTAAAAATAACTGATAAAACAAACCTCAAGAAGCTTTGGCTCACTGCTGGAATAAAGATAATGAGAAACTCTATCCTTTTCCCTTTTTAAGCACTCCTCTGCCTGAAATTCCACAACCGATGCTTGCTTTTCACAAAATAAAATAGAAGTTTATTTTCAAGATCAAGAAGGATATTAAAAGTTTACTTTAAGCATATAATCTGGACAAGAATATTCTAGAATCCACTTGGAAGCCTTGCGTGAATAATATGCTGCTGTGTCATTAAGCATAGATGCTTCAAAATCATTCTCATAGTAATCCATTTCATTGCCCTCATACAACAGTTGTCCCACTCCTATATCAACAAATATATCTAGAACATTCTTCAGTAAAGCTCGGTCAATCTGCTTGCCTTCACGTTCTTGATCAATCTGGTTAAAATTCATAAGGGAACATATCTCAATAGGAAAGTGGGACAAATCAAGTTAGTTAAAAAAGAAAAGGGGTTAAAAGTTAAAACATACTAAAGATATTACAGCATCTGTCATTTTCTGCTCCAGCTTATGGTATAACTATCAAGCATATCCAACAGCTAGTCAAAACATGGTGCCAATAAACTTCCACATATTCATTTCTTTAACCTTTGCTTCATTATAACTATCATTATCATTATCATCATGTGACTTAGCTCCATCTAATAAAAATATAATTATCAAAACAAATTATAATCATTAAGTTCAAACCAACATATGATTTTTACCAAATCATGAAAACACGAAATCCCGGCTTCTTTTAGCTTCGGGTAGTCTTTGCTGACAGTGTAAAAGCGGTCAAGATATTGGAAGAATCCAGAAAGCCACCGCACCATGACTTTATGATTTGACCACCTTCTCACAAGCTCTCTCAACAGGACCTCATCATGCTTCTCTATTAAAGAAGGTAAGACCTGCATAAAAGAATCTATGTTAAGACCAACATCACTTGGGAAACATAGAATCTTAGCATTTATAAATGAAAAGATGTGAAAAATACTAGCAAGTATCGAATTAAAGATCAAGGGTCCTAGATGAACATACAAGGCACTATGATTGGAGTTGTCAAGGTTCTTCATGTCACAATTTACTTGTGTGAGAAAATTATGACTAGATGTAAGAAGATATATATTAGCATTATCTTATAACAATTTACATGAAAATGGGACATAGCTGGAATCTCAGAGTATTGTTTGCATTAACTTTTCCTAGAAACAAGAAATGCACAAAGAAGGAATAGAAACAAGTTGGTGAACTTCAATTTGCAAATTGCAAGTTTAAGTCTGCTCGGTGTCCTAGATGGTGCATATCGCTAGCAAATAATCATTAGATTTTTATGATAATTACAAAAGCAATACTTTTTATCATTGGTATCAAGTATTTTGCAGTTTTTTGGTGATTGTAGAAAAGCTTTTCTAATTGCCTTGGGACACTCTCCATGTGTGTAAAGGACAGTAAACTCCTCAATAAAGAAAATAAATCAACTGTGATTTATCAAGAACTATTTATCATAATTTAGGTTATGAAAAGTAATTCATGTGTACCCTACTTCTGAATAAAACCATGTCCGTATCTGCTACTCGAACTACTTATAGACAATATCTATTTAAAGTCTATGCCATCGTCACCTAATAATAGTTTTTTTCATGTTCTTTACAAGTCCCCTTATCAATAATGTTTGAGCCATACTTTCTGGCTGTGAAAAGTCACTTTTGACCTTCACCCACCATCCGAACCATTATAATGAAGCTTTATATTGTCTAAAATAGCTCCTAAAGGTATGTGATGAATTTTGTATATACAAACAAGGATATAAGCTTCCTTACCGTTGAAGTAATGTACTCTTTAAAAGACTGACAATATTTGCGATATAACTGTATTGAACAATCGGATGGCGGTATCTGTGTGCACATGTTGTAGCAGGTTCTGGAGCATAAAGTTAAAAGTATTACACAAGATGTAACTTAATAGAGCAAATGGCCAATCACAAGGTAATATAGTCAAAGAAAATATAGGTGTAGAGCATCATGTATTCCTCTAAGCTGAATTGTGGCTCGGGAAGACCTTCTAGAATATTCTTCACCTTTGTTATGCCTTTCTGCATGATCTCCCATCCTTCCTCTAAGCCTATAGTTTTTCGTTCATTCATTTTCATTACAATGTTGAACCAGATTATACCTCTGAAAAAGGAATCAAGGTAGGTGTTGTTGTCAATAAGAGGCAGACCTTTATTCACCAAAAATAAAATGGACAAAGACACAGAAAGGGGAAAACAAAGTATCCAAATTGAAAATCTGTTTAGTTTATTGGAACAATATTGCAATTCATCAGATGAAAATTGGAACAGTTAATAATACGACTAGTATTCAAGCATCTAAACAGCTCTCGGTTTCAAATTAATACGAATAGGTTGGACAAAAATCAGTACAACAAATGTTTTTAAATGAAAAGAACTAACTAAAAACGTGTGTTGAAGAAAGAAAACAATGTAATTAAGATATGAAATCTCATAATGGTAATGATTGCAATTTATATCAATCATAAGAGAGTGCGATGATACATGTTCATACAATAGCCTACAACATGAAACTCAAACAGCCAAATCACTGAAAACTAAAGCCTGTAATGGTCGAATTTCAACTAAAACATACATAAACCTATGTACGCAAACCAAAGATTACTCGAATTGCCTTACCAGTTTATAAAAATACACGCCACCATTCCTACAAACGATCGAAAAATAACGTAATAGCAAAACATAAACCCTAATCCAATATTGAGAACCTCGCATAAACCCTAAAACCTAGAAAAACCAATTCCAAGAATAAACATAACCTCACCAGAACTCCAGCTCGAAATCCCCAACGCTTTCAACTCCAAAACATCCCATCGGCAGACAAAGGTTTCAAAACAGAAGCGGTCGCAATCGAAGTCGTAATCAATTGGCTGGGAGGATCCCTTGGAATCGAAGAGCAGAGTAGGAGTAGAGAGACGAAGGCAGATATTGAGCGGGTATTTGGTTTGATTTTCAAAACATAACCGAGTAAACAAAACGGGGAGATTACATGAATGGTCCCTGTGGTTGGGGTGATCTGCGTTTTTGGTCTTTAGTTCGGTTTTTTTTAATCCCTAAGATTTTTGTTGCATCTTTGGTCCCTGACAAATGTAAAATGATTATATTGTCCTTATCTATTTCTTTATTTCTTTATTTATTATTCTTTTATTATTTATAATTTAAAATAAATAAATAAAATGGGTCTGCATACCCCCCACCCCTCAATGAAATCTTCTCCCTCCCTCCCTCCTCCCATTTTAAGTTGTCATTGATCTAAATTCGACCAACGTCTCTGGCATATTGTCTCTGATAAGTGAGAAGCACGCCACCGCCGGCCACCGGATCACACCACACTATCCTCGATCCATACTTTGCCAGGCAAGACATCCATTGTTGCACTTAGTTGTAATTAAAATAAATAAAGAAGAAACTTGAAACAAAGCCTTTTCCCACTTGTTTCATCATCAGTCATCTACAACACCACCACCCACCTCGTTTTCGATCTCTTCCACCACCACCACCCAACCTGAAACCCAAATGAAAAGAAAAATCCAGAAAAAATAGGTAAAATGGAAGCTAATAAAACCAAAATCAAAATCAAAATGGATTTGTGAAAATAAACCAAATCTTCATGTATTGTTATCTTAATATTTTGATGACCGATTCACCATTTGAAATCGATTTTAGCATCATCTATTGTGGATCTTAAACAAAGATGAGAGGAGTGAAATCAATTTTACAATGAGCCGGTATGATAGGGGAAGACGCTAGGAATAGGGGTGTGTGTTGGATTAAGGTGTCTAACATCCTAACAAAATTGGTATAATACTGATGAATAAGAGTAAAGTCATTTTTAGATTGCCCTCATAACCAAGAAATTGTCTATATTGATTTAAGAGAGATAGATGGTTTATTAATATATTATATGATTAATATATTAATTAGAAATAGTTATAAATAATTTAGAATTAATCATAAGTAACTTGGTGTTAATTTTGGGTTAAATAGAATTAATTATAAGTTGAAGGACTATAGTTGCAGTTGTTCAAAAGTTTAGTAGAGGACAGTTTCTAAAACCCTCCTGCTAGGGACGGTTTTAGAGGCTCTTTAGGAGCCTTCTGGAAGCCTTCATAAGGATAAACTAGAAACCAGACAATTACCTTATTTGAAATAATATTATTTTATGTTCAAATTAGGATTTTTATGTGTTTCATAATCAACTATAAATAGGGCCTTTGACATGGAATTTTTGGCTAGTGTATTCAGACAAGCAATAGCCAAAAATTTCATATTTCTCCCCTTTATCTTAAATCTTATAGGATTCTTGTGTTGTGGGTGTGAACCATTAGAGGTTTGCACACAATTGAAGCTAGTTTTTCAAGAAGCTATTGGATTGTCCAAAGGGTTTATTTTACAATAACAAACTAGAGGTGTGTAATTTTCGATTTTACTAGGCTTAGTTTTGTTGTTCGTGGTTTGTTGCTTCAATAGAGTTATGACATAAATCAAAATTAGGTTGCATGTACCCTTAAGAGTTTAAGATGATTTTCTGCATCTCTATTCTAATAAAAGAATAGTTTCAATCTCCATTTAACATGTGTCACTCTAATACAAATCCTCATTAATATTATGTCACATGTCAAAGAGATATATTATGTAACATCCCAAAAATCATGACCAAAAATTTCTTTTTAAAACATTAATAAAACCATAAGTATCAAATCATTTCAACCATAACTAAAGGTTTATATGTCAAATCAGCGTATCGTATCAAACATGTTCTATTTATCAAAGTAAAAACATCCCAGACTAAAACTTCTTGGTGTGTGCCATGCGATCATCTCGAGCTCTTCCCTCCGCTACCGGAAGTACCTGAAACCAAAACTGAAAATCGTAAGCACGAAGCTTAGTGAGTTCCCCAACCTACCACATACCACATACGCATAACCATGAACACATAACCACATACTGGCCCCCCGCCCGCTGCATCGGGCCCCGCCTGGCATCGAGCCCCGCTCGGTATACAGATATGTCTCTCTTAGGCCCCGCCTGTCTCCGGGCCTCGCCCGCTATACACATACATACAATCAAATAACATACTAGTATATAAATAAACTCACTCTAACTGTACCCTGATCTAAGGCCTCGCCTAACTTGGGCCCCGCCCCTGGTCTGCTACTGAAGTTGTGGAACCCCGTCCATACTCCTGCTAGTAGTGAGATATGGGCCCTTGCCCACCCTCACTCCATTCCTATCACGGGCCTCGCCTCTACTATGCTAATATTGAGATATGGAACCCCATCCATACTCAGCTAGTTATGAGATATGGGACCTCGCCCACACTCACCTCCCTACCAGGCACATACAAGTATCACAGAGACAACAAGTATAATCTAACATACAACATAAGAACCTTCCTCGGGATTGCCCCGACATCGGACTCCCAGTCCGGAAACACACTATCATCTAACATACTTCGGGCTTACCCCGACATCAGACCCCCGGTCCGGAACCTATCATACCTACACATGCAAGAATCACAAAGACCTCTAGCATTCTAACAGTTCTCGGGCCTCGCCCGGCATCAGATCGTAACCCATATCATATAACAATAAGTGTCTAGGGCTAACCCCCGGGTCTTCCTACTATACATAAACATAAACATAATGGGACGGCATTGTGGTCGTAAACCCATGCACACAGTGAGGAGACTCACCTCGTACTGCTGAAGACTGGTTGAAACACTTCTGACTGCTAATCGGCAACTCTTGAACTGCTAATCCTTCGGCTTCCCGAACTATCAATACCCTCAATAACACTTAGACCACAATACCCTCAAAAGTCAAACCAAATCAAACCAGGTCAAAGTCAACACTCCGAGTTGACCCACCAACTCGCCGAGTCCCACAATCCACATAATACTTTTGGACTTCGATCCTACTCGTCGAGGTCTCCTTGAACTCGACGAGTTCAACTTTAAACACGTTGGGACCCTTTTACATCTGACTCGCCGAGTTCACCTTTGAACTCGTCGAGTCCATCTTCATAAGTTAGGGATATTGCCTTGGACTCACCGAGTTCCTTCTTGAACTCGTCGAGTACGATGATCTTCAGGTCAACTATGAACCCAAACTGGCTGAGTCCTTTTCTAGATTCAACCACCTTACACAGACGCATGAAATATTGGGGACCCACAACCCGACTTGCCGAGTCCAAAGAACAACTCGTCGAGTTCCTGTTGGATTAATGTCTAAGTCCATAACTATAATTGGTAAGACTTGACCCGACCCGGCATGGTCCATTTGGGTTGCATGGCATCATGCATTTGGATAGACTATAATGAGAGAAATAACACTTAAGGTTGGTTAATATATTATAAGTTCTAATATATTAATAAGGTTATTTAATTAGTATTGATCAAGAATTAATTTGGAATTAATTAAGTGATCAAAAGGAGACTAATTAAATATATGGGTTGATTGTGTAAATCATTCATTCTTATATATGTGGGCTTGTGATCCAAGATTCCTTATGTTGGACTAAGTCCATGGGGTGACCCATGGATACTCCATGGAGGTTAAAATCCATGGAGCATAAGGAATGGGTAAAGTTATGAGTTACATGGTGTAACCCTAATAGCCACCATATAAAAGAATCCCATGGCTCAAGAAATCGTGCACTAATGTGTGAATATGAGGGCTAGACGATTTCAAGGAGTGTTCCATTTCTCTCAAGTCATTCCATGTGCATTTGGTGTTGTGTGAACCATTTGAGGTGTCACACTTGGGGCACTAGGCACTCAAGCTTCATGGAGACAAGCTACATCAAACAAAGGTATGTATTATATCCATTTGATTACCTAAGTATCAAGTATTGTATGCTAGATGGGGTAATACCTTGGAAAGTTCATAATTGCATGTATAATAGAGAAAACATAGATCCAAGGTATTTAGGGTTGCATGTACACTTAGGAGTGTTAGAATGCGCAAAACCCATCAGTTCCCTAAGGTACAACTCTATTCAGACGATTTCTTAAGCCAACCATCGCTCCCAAAGGTAGATCCAACCTCCTAGAGCATGCTTTCCACGTAAAGTTGCAACCTTTACGTATAAACAATTCCCAAAAGCCAAAACTAAGCTACAAGGAAGGGTTTTGCTATGGAGGAGGGC